TTTATTCTTTGTAAAAAAAAAAAAAAAATGGGAAAAACCTTTTTCAAGAAGTAGTTTGCATGAGCCAATCATTGGTATGAAAACGTTAATGAAATAAAATATGTACACGTCTTAACTGTCTTATCTTTCAGATAAGGTTATAGAATAAAGTCAGTCAACAGTTTGTGTTGTAAGAAAACATAAATGTAGGGAAGAATTCCATCTCACCGCTTGTCATTCACTATTGATATTCAGCTGCGGGTTCAGCAGAGGGTCAGACACTCACGGGAACAAAGTAGAATTAGGAATGTGGTGACAGCAGCAGGTGCTAAAATTCTATGGGCTGTGCTGATAGGACCTAGTGTATGAAAACTGAAGGAAAGAAAAAGTGGAGCGCTGCCCATAGCAATCAATCAATGCTCTCATTTTTCTAGGGCAGGTGAGAACATTAAAGTGAGCACGTATGATTCCTTGTTGTAGACAATACGTACAAATTTTCCAGCATGACCCACACAATGACCCACCTTTGCGAATCATGACCCTCCTGGGTGATTGACTCTCAGCTTGAGAGTTGACCACCTTGGTTGGACTTTTATGGGTTTCATCCAAGACAGACCAGCTCCAGAAACACTCTTCTAAATGCCCCTTCTCTACTTTCCATAGGAACAAAGCCTTATTTGAAAGTGCACACTTGTTCAACAATCATTTACTCTTAAATTGTAAGCTCGAAGGAGCAGGGCCCTCCTAACCCTCTTGTATTGAACTGTATTGTTGCTGTATTGTCTCCCGTTATTTTGTAAAGCACTGATCAAACTGATGGCGCTATATAAATCCTTTATAATAATAATAATAATTTGTGAAAAAAACAATAAAAGGTCACTTTAGCCTGTAGGTTGCTTATGGGTGACCAAGCCCAAGTATATTAATGGTAGGGAACGGAAATGTTTGCACCTTCAGGAATGATATTTTTGCATACTTATACTGGGCCAGCTTGGCTTGCTGTAAGCATTATCTGATATCCGACTGCTTATGGGTGACCAAGCCCAAATATGTTAATGGTAGGGAGCAGAAACATTTAAACTTTCAGGAATGAAATGCATGCATACTTACACTGGGGCAGCTTGGCAAGCTGTAAAAATTCAGATCTGATATCTGGAGGGCTGTTGAAGATGTGCTTAATCACTGTTGTAGTGAACACTACGCCTTGTGATACCCATCATTTTCAGGGTTCTACAGTCAGGTCCATAAATATTGGGACATCGACACAATTCTAACATTTTTGGCTCTATACACCACCACAATGGATTTGAAATGAAACGAACAAGATGCGCTTTAACTGTAGACTGTCAGCTTTAATTTGAAGGTATTTACGTCCAAATCAGGTGAACGGTGTAGGAGTTACAACAGTTTGCATATGTGCCTCCCACTTGTTAAGGGACCAAAAGTAATGGGACAATTAGCTTCTTAGCTGTTCCATGGCCAGGTGTGTGTTATTCCCTCATTATCCCAATTACAATGAGCAGATAAAAGGTCCAGAATTCATTTCAAGTGTGCTATTTGCATTTGGAATCTGTTGCTGTCAACTCTCAAGATGAGATCCAAAGAGCTGTCACTATCAGTGAAGCAAGCCATCATTAAGCTGAAAAAAGAAACCCATCAAAGAGATAGCAAAAACATTAGGCGTGGCCAAAACAACTGTTTGGAACATTCTTAAAAAGAAGGAACGCAGCGGTGAGCTCAGCAACACCAAAAGACCCAGAAGACCACGGAAAATAACTGTGGTGGATGACCGAAGAATTCTTTCCCTGGTGAAGAAAACACCCTTCACAACAGTTGGCCAGATCAAGAACACTCTCCAGGAGGTAGGTGTATGTGTGTCAAAGTCAACAATCAAGAGAAGACTTCACCAGAGTGAATACAGAGGGTTCGCCACAAGATGTAAACCATTGGTGAGTCTCAAAAACAGGAAGGCCAGGTTAGAGTTTGCCAAACGACATCTAAAAAAGCCTTTACAGTTCTGGAACAACATCCTATGGACAGATGACACTAAGATCAACTTGTACCAGAGTGATGAGAAGAGAAGAGTATGGAGAAGGAAAGGAACTGCTCATGATCCTAAGCATACCACCTCATTAGTGAAGCATGGTGGTGGTAGTGTCATGGCGTGGGCATGTATGGCTGCCAACGGAACTGTTTTTCTTGTATTTATTGATGATGTGACTGCTGACAAAAGCAGCAGGATGAATTCTGAAGTGTTTCGGGCAATATTATCTCCTCATATTCAGCCAAATGCTTCACAACTCATTGGACGCCGCTTCACAGTGCAGATGGACAATGACCCAAAGCATACTGCAAAAGCAACCAAAGAGTTTTTTAAGGGAAAGAAGTGGAATGTTATGCAATGGCCAAGTCAGTCACCTGACCTGAATCTGATTGAGCATGCATTTCACTTGCTGAAGACAAAACTGAAGGGAAAATGCCCCAAGAACAAGCAGGAACTGAAGACAGTTGCAGTAGAGGCCTGGCAGAGCATCACCAGAGATGAAACCCAGCGTCTGGTGATGTCTATGCATTCTAGACTTCAGGCTGTAATTGACTGCAAAGGATTTGCAACCAAGTATTAAAGAGTGAAAGTTTGATTTATGATTATTATTCTTTCCCATTACTTTTGGTCCCTTAACAAGTGGGAGGCACATATGCAAACTGTTGTAATTCCTACACTGTTCACCTGATTTGGATATAAATACCCTCAAATTAAAGCTGACAGTCTGCAGTTAAAGCACATCTTGTTCGTTTCATTTCAAATCCATTGTGGTGGTGTATAGAGCCATAAATTTTAGAATTGTGTCGATCTCCCAATATTTATGGACCTGACTGTATTTGAGTAATTTCCCCTCTGCACCCTGACCATGAAGGGTCACTCTCTTGGCACCTCCATCATTCATAGAACGCCTTGTATTTTTGAATACAAGGCATTTTCTGATTGGAAGAGGTAGATATTGTGACATCATTGCTTCTCCTCTCCACCTTATCCAATCAAAGAATACTTATTGAAAAAAGGTGTTCTATGAATGGCTGAGGTGCTGAGTGTGCAAAAGCTTACAATTTCCAAGCTCCCACTCATGCTTGCCAGTTCCTGGCCTATAGCCGGCCATAGACGATTCAAATCTCAGATGGATCATCAGCGACCGGCTGAGGTTTGAACCATGTATGACCAGATTAAATGTACCCAAGTTGATTGATCAATCAGCCTGGGTACAACCAGCCTGTCCGGTCTTACATGCAATTATTGCTAGTGACTATTATAGCCGCCAGCAGCAATCACTGTGTTCTCCTGAGAACACAATGGCTCCATAGACGCATTTCCCCTGTCAACACTGTGTTGATGGGGGAATCAAGTAATTTTCTTTCTTGAAACCTGTGGACGCAGGAATGAAAATTGCTCAGTCTGTGGCCGGGTTAAGGAGCATACACAAGGTTAAATGGCTTTATTATATAAATGTGTAGGCAGAGATCCCTGTGCTTGCAGAAGATTTTATCAGGAATTAGTGGGAAAACTGACCTGACAGGCAATTGATGATCCCAGTAAAGCTCCCAAAGGATAGCAGTGACAAGGAAAAAATGTATATATTAACAAATTTGCTTGATATGTCAGGATCTACTACAGGTACTTTAAGCCCTGGTTCACATATATGCGGGCATGCAGGCCGCATTTTGCGGGGCATGAGAGCCCATTCATTTGAATGGACTCCCGTGCCCTGTGACTTGCAGAGAAGAAGTCCGTGCACTTCTTCTGAAAACGCACGGGAACCTCGTTTCCCAGTGCAGCTGTGTTTTCCAGTGCGGGGGCGGCGTGCCATTAGAACTAATGGCACCCGCCCCGGGTCCGCATTCCTCTGTGCGGGTGGTGTGGCTGCACGGATTTTCGTGCGGATCCGCAGCGGCACCACCCGCACAGACGTGAATCTAGCCTAAAAGTACACTTAGTTCTTTAGTCACAGGTTTCAGAAATTCTTCCCAAAGGCACATGGGAGTCTATAGCTACAAAGATGTGTGGACTGGTACAATAAACTACAGAGTTAAAGGAAAATCGAGCCCTGTACACTTCTGTGCAAACACTCCAGACCTGCGGTGAGGAAAAACACAGGCAGGCTGGAGCAGTGTTGACATGTCCAATTTCTCTTTGATGAATAGACCCCTCAGACTTGAAAGGACACCGTCTGAGACTGCAGGCTAATTCCTGAACATGTTGAAGTCACGTGCAGCGCAGCATAAAGTTCGCGGATATAATTATGGATGTCTGAAATTGATCATTTCCCGGGGAAAATTAGGACAATTTTGATAATAATAGACGGCTGACTCTTTATCTTGGGAAGCATCTCTTTAAGAATTTTCGGCTACATCTCACATATGTTATGTTTTGTGTTTCTGGTTTATTATTATGTACTGCCCCAGCCATGTATTTTACAGTGACTGGCCTCATTACCGAAGAAATGTCTGTTCTGCAGCTGTCAGTGCGCAGCCACTTCGCTGAACTCGGGGACATGCAGGAGCAGTAAACGGTAACCCTTAAAGCCGTAGATGGCATCAGAACATCTGGGAGACCTCTAGGCACAATAAAAAAAGAACATTAATGCTGTATAATGTCAAGTTACCCAGTGCTCTTTTTTTTAATGAGCCACAGCATACATGCAATTATGTAATTATGTATAGAACATTTCTAAATGCATATAAATATGTGTGTTGTGATTTTAAGGCCTCGTGCGCACTGGGCCTTTAGCCTTGGCGCATTTGATTCCCAGGGTAGAAGCATAGGCGCAGCCTGTAAAACTCTATAAAAGGATGAAAGCTTCTGTGGTTGGACGATGTACAAAGTGGTACTAATGTTTAGGGAAATGTACACCCAGGGACAAATACCCAAAACGCTGCATTCTGGGCAGGGGCGGACTGACCATTAGGGCACTCGGGCACTGCGCGAGGGCCCAGGGTTAGCAGGGGGCCCCATGAGATGCCCCTGGTACCTTTCATAGGCTTTTTTGGGTGTGGTTTGAGTGTGGGCGAGGACACAGGGGCCCCATGATCCCCTATTGCCCGGGGACCCCATGAGTTGTCAGTCCGCCCCTGATTCTGGGCATTCCTCATTGTGTGTATACTGCCCTAAATGTTAGTACCTCTCAGTGCACCATCCAGTCTGTCCAGCCGCAGCAGCTTTCAGCCTCTCGTAGAGTTTCACAGGCTGCTTACATCGGGGCTGGATGGTGGGCTTGTAACTTCCGCCTGCACAAAAACTCAGGGATCTCATGCACAGGGGTAAAAGCCTAGTGTGTGAGGCCTTAATAATATAATGCACTGTGTGTTTACCTGCTTTCAGGTGCATTCAGTTTAGCTACAGTTAGAAAAATCTAGAAATGTGTGTGACCAGGGTAGAATAAGTACTACAAAGCATCTAAAGCACATAAACAGGCATACATTTAAACACAGAAGAAGTTGATCTGAGAAGTATAAAGTTTGTTTATAATTCCCATCTCACTTTCTTCTGCATTTAACCCCTTAGCTAGCTTCCAGATCATATATCACTGTGATTGGCTGTCACGGCAGTCACATGACTGGGAGCCCCTCCCATTGGTTTCTGATGTTAAACAGTAACAGTTCAGTCACTGTGCTGTGAGCGCACGATGAGCACACTCTCAATGCTATTCAATGCATAGATGCGCACAACCCGCGTTAAGGCCCATCTGCCGCACTGATGCATATGTGTGTTATACCAGTAGGAACAGGATAAATAAAAAACAAAAACACAAAATATTGTACAAACTCAGGGGGGTATCAAAAACCCTTTTATGATACAAGAGCAAATAACTAAATATTGTTTCTTAGTTTCTGTTAAAACATTTTGCAAAAAAAAAAAATCTTTCTTCATAAATTTATACCAAAATGTATTCTGCTACATTTCTTTGGTATAAAAATAACCCAAATCAGTGCATATTATTTAGTCTGTAGGGGCGGACTGACAACTCATGGGGCCTCCGGGCAATAGGGGATCATGGGGCCCCTGTGTCCTTGCCCAAACTCAAAAAAGCCTATGAAAAAGGTACCAGCGGCATCTCATGGGGCCCCCTACTGACCCCGGGCCCGAGTTTTCAAATGGTCGGTCCGCCCCTGTTAGTCTGTATGAAAGTTATTGAGTCTACAAACTATGGTACCGTATATATATTTGAAAATGGATCAATCCTGATATACTGACATCCTCATCTAATTTCTTGAGGCCCTACAATGCCAACCCAGTATAAATACCCCCCAGATGACCCCTGTTTGGAAAGTAGGCAGTCCAGGTTATTTATTTTTTTTAATTTTTAAAAATACTGTCACCTGTACAGTGCAGCGTCAGTATATGACTGGCGTGGGTGATCAGTTGTTCATTCAATTTTTTAAACATGTTTTTAAACTTTTTTTCTCTTGTTTTACTATATTTTTACATACTTTCATTAGAGTAGTTCATTGTCACCATAGTGACACTGTACTACTCTGGGGAAAGGGGGGGGGGGGGGTGATCAGGGTTTTTTTTTTTTTTTTACACTGCTATTGCGTATAACATTGATGATCACTGTTTTACATAGTTTAAACTGTCATGAATGACTTTCCATTAGTGACAGCTAGCTTACTGTTGACATGCTGTGACTAGCTACACCTAATCACATGGTACAGGGTTCAAGGTACCATATGATAGCTATGGGGCAATCACAGAATGACAACAGTAAGCAAGCTGTTCATGAATGAAAGCCATTCATGACAGTTTGCTTACATAAGATCACGTGACCAATCATAGCAATCACATGATACACCAGTAGAATTTTGTTTGAAAAAGTTTTTTTCAGAATGTTTGTTCGCTTTTCTAAAGGTTAGTTAAGTTAAATTGAAATAAAAGGAGCAGGATGCAAAACTTTTCTTGAACAAGTGAAATTCTAACTGTGACTGTAGTTTTTGTTTGGCAAAAATTGTACATACTGTATTGTAAAGCAACCTGCTTAATATGCCTGGCTTCAAATAGCAGGTCTGATCCAAATTTTCAGGGCTTTTAATTGAAATTAATTAACTCAATGATGGCAAGAATAAATGCTCTAATAAATAATTTTTCAGTGTTTACATACAAAAGCTGATGCATATTTGTGCATGTACTGTATGTCCAGCTTTATGTTGTGCTAAACTGTTATCAGTCATCATTGTTCCGTCCTATGTTATGGAGATGATGAGTAATGGAGGTGTTCTATAGTCCTGTCTTAGGGTGATGACACTGCTCCTCCTCAGATACAGTCTTTAAAGCAGAGTTCTGCCCCCCCCCCCCCCCCCCCCCAAAATAAAGAATAAATAAAAGTCAACAGCTACAAATACTGTAGCTGCTGACGTTTAATATTTGGGCACTTCCAAGTATCCAGTAGTGTCCTCACCAGCAGTGTCCTCACCCCAAGCCGATTCTTCATTCAGCTGTTGTGAGCTGTTGGTTGTCGTTTCCTATCGCACATGCGCGAAGTGCACTGCACTTTTAGAATGGCCTGCAGTTTTCTGGGACCTGTGAAATGTCCCAGAGGGCTTCGCTGTAGCAAACCAGTTACCTGCTCCCCCCCCCAAAAAAAAAGGTGCCAAATGTGGCAGCGGAGTGGGGGAGATGGAAGATAAGTGGAGCTTCACCTTTTGGGTGGAATTCTGCTTTAAGCATTGTCATTTTAAGACAGGAAGTGTGGTACTGGCAGGATCACCAGGTAAAAAAGGGTAGAAAAATTAAAACTGAAAACGAATGCAGCCGTAACTTCTAAGGAAAGGTAAGCCGCAAAATATAAAATTTTTGTTCTTAGGTTTAGATATACTTTGCCCTCTGGGATAACCAAGAGGTGGAGGGTAGTGTCCCTGCTTACCCCATACCCAGAGTTTTGGGCTTTTAGGGGTTCCAAGCACAGTAGGGAAACAGGCACCTCGTAGCACTTTAGGGTTCTTCTTATACAGCATCACTAATTTCATGTCCAAATTCCTGCAACAAAAAATAAAAAACGGACCTAGATAAATAGATTTTTACTCTGCATATGCATTATTGAATACCGTGCTTTTGTTTCTATAGTTCCTCTTTAAAGCAGCCCAATTCATCATACAGCATATGGGGATTGCTGATTTGATTAGATTTCCATTCACTTCCACCGCAGGAGGGAGAAGCAAAGACCTGGAAGGGGACAGGGGGAGGGTGGTGAAGAAAAATAATCCCAGCAGTTTTCATACAGTCATATAATTGCACCTAGTCTCGCTGTCTGCACCCGCGCTGTCAACACAAACCAGCAATTAGCATTAATGCACTTTGGCAACTGGATCCCAGTTCCGAAAGAGACTGGAGGTTGCACCATTTGCATTCAATAAATTATTAAAGGTTGTCAGCTGTTCAGACGAGAGTGGGTAATAACGTGGTTAAAGGCCTACCACATGTCTAATTTGATGTGTGCGCACCGGGCCTCGTTTCCCTACAAGCCTATTCACATCTGTGTAGCCGAAGCTCCGGACTAATAGCTAATAGCTTCACAATGAAGAATACATTAGTTGGATTAGAGGCTAGTTCAAGGTGATTATTAAACCGCATGCAAGAAAACAGAAAGGAACAAAGGACCGTCATGTTTTACTGACATGTAATAACAGGTTCTTTTATTAATTGTACTGAATAAAGTATAGGCAACTTTACACTTGTACAGTAAATGCCAGCACCACTGGATACCTGGCTGAAACACGTGGCTGAGAACAGAGGCTCATGTGCAGGCCTTTTATTTCTACTGCCAGGAGGGCTCGGCTTTGTCCAGCCATTCTAGATGAAAAAGCATTCCAATATTTCAAAAGTATAGAATGTCCTCATCTTATCTCCATTTTTGTCTTGCATTCCTCATTTACTTCAACATATTTAGAGGACATTTTTTTTCTTGGGGGGGTATTTTTATTTATTACAGATAGGGCTCATTCATACTGTTGCATTTAACACATTCTGACATGCTAAAACATGCCTTGTACTTCCACATAAGAAAGGTAGTGTCTGTTCCCATCCCTGTGCTGCAGTGCATTTTTAAAAGTACATCATTTCCAGTCTTTTTTGCGTTTTAGTGCATTGGGATGCCTTTAAAAGTCAAGGGCAGTGTATCAAATGCATAGAAACCCACATTTGTTGGGAAAAAACAATCCCCTCTGGGTGATCAATGTGCATTGCGAGGACTTTAACAAACTTTGTAGCAGAGTCCTACTGTTTTGTATTCTTAACCACCTCCCACCCACCATATAAGAAAATGACAGACGCAAGGCGGTTCTCTCGTTCTGGGAGGATGTCATATGACGTCCTCCCACTCTAACCGCACGTGCGCGGCTCCGGGAGCGCGCAGAGCACACAGCGGATCACCGATTAACGGAACAAGCCGAAGATGTCGGCTCGGTCATGTGATCAGCTGTGTCCAATCACAGCTGATCGCATGTAAATAGGGAAATGCCGGTAATCTGCATTTCTCTCCTCATGAGCTGTCCTCAGAGGGGACATGTACACTGATCATTAGGGCACTGATGTTCAGTGTGCCCTGATGATCAGTGTAGCCCTAGCAGTTCCACCTGTCAGTGTCCATCAATGCCAGCTGTCAGTGCTCATCAGTGCCACCTGCCAGTGCCCATCAATGCCACATATCAGTGCCTACCAGTGCACATCAATGCTACATATCAGTGCCCATCTGAGCTGCCTTTCAGTGTCACCTATCAGTGTCACCTATTAATGCCACCTATCAGTGCTGCCAATCAGTGCCACCTATCAGTGCCAGTCAGTGCTGCATGTGCCATCAGTGCGCATCAGTGCGCCAGTGCCGTCTATCAGTGCCCGTCAGTGCTGCCTATTTAGTGCTGCCTAACAGTGCCAGTCAGTTGCAACCTAACAGTGCCAGTCAGTGCCACCTATCAGTGCCAAATATGAGTGCTGCCTTTCAGTGCCCATCAGTGATGCCTGTCAATGCCCATCAGTGCCCTCTACCAGTGCCTCCTCATCAGTGCCACCTATCAGTGCCCATCACTGCAGCCTCATTAGTGCACATCAGTGAAGGAGAAAAATCACTTATTTACAAAATTTTAAAACAAAAACTAGAAAAACTTCTTTTCACAACTTCCAGTTGTTTTTGGATTCCTCCTCCTCCAAACACGATGAGTTGAG